TGCAAAAAGGAAAGCAGAAGGTTAAAATCCCATTGAAATGCATTGCCGCCGAATTTCGGCGGCAAACCGGGAATACAGCAAGCTGATCTGGGGGGACTGGGGGCACCCTCTTTGGATGCCCCTGGAATCGGACCCCCTGGACCAATCTTCTCGAAACTTTGGGGGTCTTTCGGGGAGAGGCTTGAGCAGCCACGGTCCAAATTTGGAGGCTCTACCCCCTCCCCCCAGCCCCCCGCAAAGTTTCAAGAGGTTTTTTGCCATTGACTTCAATGGCCCCATTGGTTATAATGGACCCGAATTTTTCGGGTTTTCCGAAAATTTTCGGATATCTATGGTTTACCGGTATAGAAATTCGGGTTTTTTCGGGTTTCCCGAAAAAATTCGGGTTCAATAAACCCAAATCCGAATTTTACCGAATTTTTTTTTTTTGCACACCCCTAGTCAGGACTAAGGACGCTGGGCCTTCAAAGAAAAAAGATGTGTGTGTGTGTGGGGGGGTAAAGCAAGGGGTGCTTCTGCCTGGCTTCTCCAATGACATGGCACCTGGCTGGGGATTCTCTCATTTTAACAAAAGCCAAGGTCTACATCAGGGGTGTCAAACTCATTTGTTATGCGGGCCAGATCTGATATAAATGTCACTTTGTTGGGTTGGGCCACGTGTGCCATAACACGTAACGCCAGGTACTGGAGGTATAAACTATATATAAAGGACAGCAGCTGGTAAGCTCCAAGTTGTATTCTCACTGCAAGGCCCCACGAGCTGGGAGAGGGGTGCAAAGGAAAACCCAGATGAGCAGACTGGGCAGATGTTCCCACACTGCTTGACTGTTGCAGGAAAGGTTATTCCGCCATGCTGAAGCCACAACTGGAGGAACTCTGCCCACTCCCCTCCGAAACAGTCTCCTGTTCCCTCCCTTGCCCTTGTTGCTCACAGGCCGCATAAGAGCCCTGAACAGGCCTTATGTTTGATACCCCCGGGGTCTACATGATTGCAAATCTTCTGTCATTGAAGCTGCAGATGCAGGGAGTGAGTGGGTGGGGTACGGGCTGGCCCCCCCCATTACATGCCAAGGGGGTTCAGAAGCATGATGCAAAAGCACGCAAGAGCAAACAACTGTGCCCCACTAGAAGAATTCTTGTAACCCAGTCAATGCCCCCTCTAAGCTGTGGAGTGTTGTGAGCAAAAAATCTACTTTGTGAGCTGCTGGCATTCAAGTTGTGAGCGAGCGATTTGGCTTCTGCATAAACTAGTTTGCTCTGGAGCCCTCCTTCCTGAGCTGAGACAAAAATGTGTGAGCTGGGGGCTAAAAAACTGTGAGCTGGCTCACACCGACTCGGCTTAGAGGGAACACTGAACCCAATGGAGAAAAGGGGAACCTTTTCCCCCTGGCCCAGAGACTGTGTGTCACAGAAGATCCCTGGCTAGAAGAGAAGCATTCTGGGAATGAAGAGCGGCCTCATCTGGGGCCGGTACCGGGTTCTGGGAGGCCCCAGGAAGAGAGTTCCCCAGGGGCCCCCCTTCCTGTCTTCTCCCCCCCCACCGGGTCCTGCTCATGTCCTCGTTCCCTCCCACCCCTCCTCGTGCCCCCCACCCGCCTCTCTGTCCTTCCCCCACCTGCCTGCAAGACCTTCCGCTCCCCCCCCCATTGCTCATAGCCACCTGTCGCCCTTTCCCTGCCCGGTGCCACCGGAAAGTACAGGCAACTGAGAAGACGGGCGGTGGGGTCCTAGCAAGTCAGGGTAGAGGGGGCGTGGCATCAACGGGCCCTCCTCGAGGGTCTGGGCCCCGGCCTCATCCCTCCTAACCCGGCACCCAACCTCCGCTTGGGAAAGGGGAAGAACCCAGGGGACAAAGGTGCCCACTCACTTTCTTCTCCAGCGCCAGCCTGATCACCCGGCACAGCTCCGCCAGCCGCCCGGGCTCCCGGAAGGCCTCCTGCTTGCACGCCTTCAGCAGCTTGGTCAGGGTCTCCAGGAGGTCCATCACCACCTGCCGTTCCGTGTCCTCCTGGATCCCCTTGATGTAGGCCGGCAGCACCACGGACAGCATCTTCTGCAGCGCTGCGGAGGAGGCGGGAGGAGGGCCGGTTTAGGAGCTGCCAGGACGATCAGGAAATGCCCCTCCCCATCTTGCTTGCCCCCCTCGCATGACACTGCCTTATGCAAGTCAGACCGTCGAGGTCGTCTATTCTGACTGGCAGCGGCTCTCTCTCCAGGGTCCCAGGCTGAGGTCTTCCGCACCACCTCCTCCCTCCTCCTTTGCAACTGGAGGTGCCGGGGACTGAACCTGGGACCTTCTGCATGTGAAGCAGTGGCTCTCCCGCTGAGCCACCGCTCCTCCTCAAACACCCTGGGGTCCACCAGGTCAGTACTGCCCACTCAGACCGGCGGCAGCTGTCTCTCCAGGGTCTCAGGCACAGAAAGGTCCTTTCACGTCACCGACTGCCTGGCACTTTTTAACTGGAGATGCATGCCGGGCAGAGGCCCCGCCCCTGAGCCCCCCCCCCCCCGCAGTAAAGCCTAACAACATTTATTCCAAGATGAGCTTTCGTGAGTCACAGCTCACGGCTTCAGGTACACAAAGGGAAGATCATACTGGACATTCCTCATAGGGGGACGTTTGCGGCAGAGAGGTTTGGTGTGAATCCCGTCACGTATCTTTCAGGCATAATTTCTCTGCATCAGGGGAAAGGGTGCAACAACACAGGCGACTCCTCTGCTTTTCTCCTGCCTGGTCCTTGGAGCTGGGGATGCTGGGGACTGAACCTGGGACCTTCTGCGTTCCAAGGAGATGCTCTCCAGCGGAACAACGGCCCCCTCCCCAGAACACACGAAGCTGAGATGGAGCAGAGATCATGAACACGTGGAGCAGAGGTCCATTAGTGGCTATTCGCCACAAGGGATAGATAGGAACTCTCAGTCTGGGGCAAGGGATGGTCTGTATTCTTGGTGCTTAGGGGGGGACAAGAGTGGGAGGGCTTCTAGTGTCCTGGCCCCACTGGTGGCCCTCCAGAGGGCACCTGGTATTTTTGGCCTTTGTGTGACACCGAGTGTTGGACTGGATGGGCCACTGGCCTGATCCAGCACTGGCTTCTCTTGTGTTCTTGTGCCTTTGACTAAATCAGACCATCGGTCCATTAAGGCAACTCTCGTCTACTCAGACTGGCCGCGGCTCTCCAGGGTCTCAGGCCGAGGTCTTTCCCATCACCTACCACCTGGTCCTTTTTAACTGGAGATGCCGGGGATTGAGCCTGGGACCTCCAGAGTGCAAAATCAGGGGCTCTGCCACTCACCCATGGCCCCTCCCCCTCCCTCTACTAGACTTGCAAGGATTAGGGCTCCTTCTCCCACCCACCCCTCCAGGCCTTGGCTCACCAGCGCTGTTGGGCTCAGACGGATCGCGCTCGCACACCTGATGCAACGCGATGCAGAACAGCCCCAGAGAACAGAAGGCAGCTTTCCTCACGCCGAGGTAGAAGCACTAAAGACAGGAATGGTGGAGATTTAGAAGTGCAGGGCCCCAGATTTATACCCCCTACCCAGTGTTCCCTCTAAGCTGAGTTAGTGTGAGCTAGCTCACAGTTTTCTAGCCTCCGGCTCACACATTTGTGTCTTAGCTCAGGAAAGATGGCTCCAGAGCAAACTATTTTATGCAGCAGCCAAATCGCTCGCTTACCATTTTAATACCAGCAGCTCATAAAGTAGAATTTTTGCTCACAAGGCTCCACAGCTTAGAGGGAGCATTGGTTGTGAGCGAGTGATTTGGCTGCTGCATAAAATAGTTTGCTCTGGAGCCATCTTTCCTGAGCTAAGACACAAATGTGTGAGCCGGAGGATAAAAAACTGTGAGCTGGCTCACACTATGTCAGCTTAGAGGGAACCCTGCAAACCACTGGAGATTTGATCGGCTGTGCGGATTTTTAAAAAGGTTGCTTTGGCAGCAGCTGCCACCACGGCACAAGAATTTCCTTATTTCCAAATCCTGCAATTACCGTTTCCCACTCCGCGGACTATTCTCACCCTTCTCCTTAACACACCACCCCTTTTCCAATCCAACCCCCAGCTAATTTCTCTTTTCCGTCTATCCATCCTTGACTTTTACTGCCGCTCTCTGGAGTTAGTGGCACCTCAGACACGCCCCTTTCAACCCCCCCCCCCCCGCTTTAAAAAAAACTCCCGCTCCCCAACACAAAGGGGGGGGGGGCTTCTCTCACTCGGCTTCCCGTCCTCTTACTCTGCTCCATTCCAGGTCGCCCACCCCGCCATCGGCCTGTCCAACCACACCAGTTGGACATCCGCCTCCGCCCGCCCATTACCTCCAACAACTTGAAGACTTCCGGGAAGCAGGTGTCCATAAACGGCAGGAAGGCCACGCTGAGACGGCAGGAAAAATGGCGTTAGGGTGGGAGGAGGGGAGTCTTCACCTCTATCCCCTAACACTTTAAGCTCACTATGCCTGGTTATGCCCCTCCCCCACATGTCCCGTCGCATCCGTAACACCCCCCCCACACACACACACCATTTGCTTTCCTTAACAAAAGTGCAGTAAAGGGGGGGGGTCTGCCAGAATACTCTATGCTAAATATTGGAGAAAAACAGAAACTCCTTCGAGAGAAGAAATGCTAAACAAAATTTTGGAAACAGCGGAAAGGGACAAACTAACTTTAATTCTGAAACTACATTTAAAGATACATGATCAAGATTGTATAACTGGTTTGAAGGTTACATTAAGTAAACAATAGAGACACCCAAAACTTGTTTAGGACGTACATAGTAAAAACTTGATACATTTGCAGAGGACATTTAAGGTGAAATACATAAATCTATGATACAGGGCATGAGACTCCGGAGGGCCCAGGTTCAAATTCCCACTCTGCCACAAAGCTCATGAGGTACCTCTGGACAAGCATCATCTACCACACCAGACTGTTGTGAGGACAAAAGAGAGGATTTGGCCCCACTGGTGGACCTCCTGAGGGCCCCTGCGCTTTGGCCACTGTGTGACACAGAGCATTGGACTGGATGGGCCATTGGCCTGATCCAACATGGCTTCTCTTATGTTCTTAGTGGCTATTAGTCAAAAAGTATAGAGGGAACACTGTCTGGGGCAAGGGATGCTCTGTCTTCTTGGTGCCTGGGGGGGACAACAGTGGGAGGGCTTCTAGTGTCCTGGCCCCGCTGCTGGACCTCCTGATGGCACCTGGCATTTTTGGCCACTGTGTGACACAGAGTGTTGGACTGGATGGGCCACTGGCCTGATCCAACATGGCCTCTCCTACATTCTTATTTCCATGAAGGAAGGGCAGGGGGCAACTATGAATCCCAAGGGCCTGCAGCCATTCCCTTCAGGAGTGGTACTTGAGTGCTGCCCTCTCTCACACCGGCCTGTTCCTCTTCTCCTCTCAGGACCGACGTCCTCAGGATGGGCTGCTGAAGGAACTAAGAATCCGTCGCTTCTCGGGACTCCCTTTGCGCTCTCCAATTCACTTCACCCAAATTCAGAATTGACAGAGACCCCGATGCGGGTTCAAATCTACCCACAGACGTGAATCTCACCGGGCGACTCCCCCTCTGCCTCGCGTACCTCACAGGGTTGTTGCCAGGATAAAAAGGAAGAAGGGAGATCCGTGGATGCTGCCCTGATATCCTGCCCTGATATCCTGCCCTGATATCCCCTGTATAAATCGACAATGCCACCTCATTTGGAGTACTCTGTACAGTTCTGGTCCCACCACACCTCAAAACAGGATATTATAGCATTGGATAAAGTGCAGAAAAGGGAAACTAGAATGAGAAAAGGGTTGGAACACTTTCCCAATGAAGAAAGGTTAAGGCGCTTGGGGCTCTTTAGCTTGGAGAAACGACGGCTGAGGGGGGACATGATTGAGGTTTACAAGATTACGCGTGGGATAGAGCAGGTAGAGAAAGAGGTACTTTTCTCCCTTTCTCACAATACAAGAATTTGTGGGCGCTCCATGAAATTGCTGAGCAGTCAGGTTAGAATGGATAAAAGGAAGTCCTTCTTCACCCAAAGAGCGATTAACCCATAGGATTCACTGCCACAGGAGGTGGTGGCGGCTACAAGCATGGACGGCTTCAAGAGGGAATTGGATAAACATCTGGAGCAGAAGTCCATCAGTGGCCAACAGCCACAAGGCATAGATAGGAACTCTCAGGCTGGGGCAAGTGATACTCTGTATTCTTGGTGCTTGGGGGGGGGGCAACAGTGGGAGGGGCTTCTAGTGTCCTGGCCCCACTGCTGGACCGCCTGGTGGCACCTGGTATTTGTGGCCACTGTGTGACAGAGTGTTGGACTGGATGGGCCACTGGCCTGATCCAGCACTGGCTTCTCTTATGTTCTTATGGAGGGGAGGGTGGACCACGAACGCGACAGACAGACACGTACCTGGAGCTGATGGCGATCTCTCCCAGGGAAAGGCAGGCATCTTCCTTTTCGTCCATAAAGGAGTTTCGCACACACACCCTGTGGAGAACGGGAGAGAGAGAGGGAAAGTTTTTGGAACCTGCCTCCTCACAAGCAACACCATAAGGCCGAACCTCATACTGAGAGAACCCGTTTAGGTCTAGTGCTTTCCGAAGTCGTCAAACGGTGGCAAGGCCAGGTCTGAACAACCCCCCCCCCCACACACACACATCAAAATAAAAATCTCTCTCCCTAGGAAATGAGTAAGAGTCCAGGAGCACCTTAAAGACGAACAGAATTTGTGGGAGGGCTTTTGTGAGTCACTGCTCACTTCTTCAGATATCTGAAGGGTGTTGTGAAGGTATCTGAAGAAATGAGCGGTGACTCACAAAAGCTCCTCCCCTGCCACAAATTTTGTTAAGTCATTTAAGGGGCTCCTGGATTCTCGCTCTTTTCTGCCGCTACGGACAGACTGATGCGGCAACCCATCTTGATCTAGCTAGAAAATCATCTTGCCAGCGAGAATGCTGGTTTCCAATCCTCTCCTTGCCTAGTCTGACATTAGGGTAAGCGCCTCACCTGCACCCTGGACGGATCCAAGCGGGACCCAGGTTTGCTAGGCCCAAGGGGCAAGGGTTCCACACGGCACAATCCTGTTTCACTACTGAACACTATCAACATATCTCCTCTGACGACAGTTTCAGGTGGGTGGCCGTCAATGTTCCCTCTAAGCTGTGGAGTCTTGTGAGCAAAAATTCTACCTTGTGAGCTACCGGCATCAAAGTTGTAAGCGAGCCATTTGGCTCCTGCATCAATTAGTTTGCTCCGGAGCCCTCCTTCCTGAGCTCGGACAAAAACGTGTGAGCCGGAGGCTAAAAAACGGTGAGCTAGCTCACACTGACTCAGCTTAGAGGGAACACTGGTGGCCGTGTCAGTCTGCAGAAGAGCCGGATTCAAGTCCAGCAACACACTGAAGGCCAACAAGATTTCCAAGGTATACATTCTGGAGAGTCAAAGCTCTCATCTGAGAGACAGAACTCTGACTCTTGAGAGCTTCTACCCTAGATATCTTTTGGCCTTTAAGCTGCTACGGGACTCAACTAGGGACAAAAAAGGGGGAAGAAACTTAACCCTGAAACCTAGGATCAAGACTAAAGAGGTAAGTCAAACAGAGTAGAGGGCCATGTATTTTTGTATAGCAGAGCAGAGGTCCATCAGCGGCTCTTAGCCACAAGGTATAGATAGGAACTCTCGGTCTGGGGCAAGTGATGCTCTGTCTTCTTGGTGCTGGGGGGGGGGGTCAACAGTGGGAGGGCTCCTAGTGTTCTGGCCCCACTGCTGGACCTCCTGATGGCACCTGATATTTTTGGCCCCTGTGTGAACCAGAGTGTTGGACTGGATGGGCCATTGGCCTGATCCAACATTGGCTTCCCTTATGTTCCTAATACAAAAATACATGGATTTATTAGTAAAGAATTAAAAAACGTATAAGGGCCCAATTACACCTCATATAAAAATACCAAAATCATACACACAGGGGCCAATGGACTTCACCTGATGCTTTTCGGCCTTCTTCAGAGGTCAAACACAACGAGGAACACATTGGCTTATACCGTAGTACAAAACTATTATACAATTATACAACATGGACACAAAACGGACCAGAAAGGAATAGTTCCAAAGTGAAACCACCAGGCACAGAATAAAAGGAAAAACGAGGCCTCCCGAGATTCAATCGCATGCCAAATGATATTTCACTGATGATGATTTCTGAGCCAGAGAGTGCCTCCCAAATGATCGTTTCGTCCAAGCCAAAGCGTCCCGAGCAAAACTGTCCCTTTGGCAAAGGGACTCAGACCTTGTCCTCTCTAGGCCGTGACATCTCGTTGCTCCCAAATCCACCTCAGCCTAGCTCTTGGCCTACAAAGTTCTCCTCGATCTCTCTCCCCACCCACTACGCCGAGCTAAACTACGCTCTCCCTAGGCCCAAGGGATTAATTCAAGCCAAGGGCCTCCCGCATCTGGGACATTCCCTTTTGGAAGTGTAGGGGAACTCAGAGCTAGATTTCCCAATGACCCCCCCCCCCCCCCCGCCCAAGAATCGGGTGACGCACCCTGTCAACTCAAAATCGTCGTCATCTTCGTCGTCAGTCAGGCTCTCGTCTCCCTCCACCTCGGCCTCCTCATCCTCGTCATCGAACAGGAGGAAGGAGCTACCGGTGCCATGGTGGGGCTGCGGAAAGCATAAAAGGGACAAGCGCTTCAGACGCACGGAAAGGTCCCAGGCAGAAGGCAGCATCATTCTTCTCACAGAGGATCTGCGGCCGGCCGTTTTTTCTGGGACTGCGACCCATCGAGGAGCCTCCTCCTTAAAAGACAGTTAACACTCTGGTTTCATACCTCTACCAATCAATGCTCACAGCCCTAAGAGGTACCCCTCTGGAGGGGCCATGGGCAGGAATACAGCTTCAGAAGAAGAAGAAGAAGAGATTGGATTTATACCCCGCCCTTCACTACCCAAAGGTGTCTCAGAGAGGCTTACAAACTCCTTTCCCTTCCCCTCCCCACAACAGACACCCTGTGAAGAAGGTGGGGCTGAGAGAGCTCTGACAGAAACTGCTCTTTTTTAAGGACAGCTCTTATCAGAACTACGGCTTGCCCAAGGTCATCCAGCAGCTGCAAGTGGAGGAGTGGGGAATCAAACCTGGTTCTCCCAGGTTAGAGTCCGCGCACTTAACCACGACACCAAACTGGCTTGGCATCACTACATCAGCTTGGCATGCAGAAGGTCCCGATCCCCGCCATCTCATCTCTCTCCCCTTCACATCAGGTGATTATATATTGCTCCTCCATAAGAGTTTACACAGTCTTTAAGTAGCAGCTGGACAAACCCTTGTCAGGGATGCTCTCGGCTGGTCCTACACTGAGCAGGGGGTTGGACTGGATGGCCTCTAGGGCCCCTTCCCACTCTTGTGGTCCTATCTTTGAGTTGTTATAGCAGTTGTATTTTATTGATTTTCATTATATGTATTGTAATCCTTTAATTGTTGGTCTTATTTATCGTAATGACTACAATGTTTTCAATTGTATGATTCATAAATGTTGTTAACTCGCTCGGAGCCGGTTTCAGGGACAGCGAGTTATAAAATTTAATAATATCAATAAATAACTGGATGAGGCAGCAGGTGATGTGAAAGACCTCTGCCTGAGACCTCGGAAAACAGCTGCCGGTCAGATAATATTCACTTTGACAGACCAAGGGTCTGTCTGGGGAGGGGCCACGGTTGCTCAGTGGGAGAGCCTCTGCTTGGCATGCAGAAGGTCCCAGGATCAATCCCCGACAATCCCTGTTAAAAGGATCAGACAGTAGGTGATGGGAAAGACCCTTTCTTTGCCTGAGACCCTGGAGAGCCGCTGCCAGTCTGAGAAGACCTTGCAGACACTGATGGACCAAAAGCCTGCCTCAGTGTAAGACAAACTACCTGTGACAGTTTCATTCAGGTCAGGAGCTGTGGCTCAGTGGGAGAGCCTCTGCTTGGCATGCAGAAGGTCCCAGGTTCAATCCCCGGCATCTCCAGTTAAAAGGACCAGGCAGGAGGTGATTGAGAAGATCTCTGTGCCGGAGACCCTGGAGAGCCGTAAAGAGGGGCTGTGGTTCAGTGGCACAACATCTGCCTGGCATGCGGAAGGTCCCAGGTTCAATCCCTGGCATCTCCAGTTGAAAAGGACCAGGCAGCAGGTGATGCGAATAGACCTCTGTGCCTGAGTCTCTGGGAGAGAAAGCCGCCACCAGCACTGACTGGGATGAACCCAGGGTCTGAGTCTGTGGAAGGCAGCTTCATGTATTCATAAGCAGCCTAAATATTAACCCCGAGAAGACTAACCACTAATCTCCCTCCCAAACAGTTCAAGGCAGTCAGGGCCAAAAGAATGAAGCCCTCAAAACTGCCTGTCTGAAGAGGCTGAGGCAGCCGCCCAGGGGTGGGTCTTCCGTAGGGGGCCACATTCTGTTGCTCCGCTTTGATGGGGTCTGTGACGGTACCTCTCCTTTATTTTGTGTGGTTAGGTGCGATGTAGTTTTAAATTTCTTTAAAGTATCTAGCGCTGCCACCAGGCGCTGCCACCAGGAATTTAATTCCAGTCTTTAATCAACCTTTCCCACAGTATTGTGCCCGAGCTCTAAGGCTCATTTCGTTGGACTGTGTGGTTCTGAGGATAAGACTCTGGGTTAACAATAAACAAGACAAAACTTTATCGGTAAAGGAAGCGTCTTGGTTACAAGAGGTTTTTGTAGTCAAGTTCAACAGCCCCACATCATCACAGGGCATCCATGCTTCCACGCTTTCATGTTCTGCCATCAGAGGTGCTTTTAGGGAGGTACCGCCAGACACCATATGTAGACAGACTTTGTCCTTAGGGCTCTCTAAAAGATATAGAATCCACCACACACACCATACTTCATTGCCCCCTCTATAGGGATATCCGATCTCGTTTTATTACTCCCTTTCTAGAGGGTGAGAGCTGGCACTCTGAGGACTCCATTGTTCACTTTCTTCTGTTTAATTCTAGTTGCGAAATAATGGAGGCTGCTGCAGAATTTTTATATGATGCAATCAGAAGACGAGGCTCGAATAGCCAAGTGCAGGTGACTGATGCATTCTAGTATCTTCCTGTATTTCCATGCTTTGTGCTTTCATGCCAATAAAGGTTTTGTGTGTGTGAAGAGGTTCTGTTAACTTGCTTAGTAAAAATCTTTCCCCTTTTACTCAGGTCTCTTTCAGCCTTCCCCCCCCCCCCCAAACACTCCTCAAATACTCTGAGTCAGTGTTCCCTCTAAGCTGAGTCAGTGTGAGCCAGCTCACCATTTTTTGGCCTCCGGCTCACCCATTTTTTTGTCTTCGCTCGGGAAGGAGGGCTCCAGAGCAAACTCATTCATACAGCAGCCAAACTGCTCGCTTCCTACTTTAATGTTGGCAGCTCACAAAGTAGAACTTTTGCTCACGAGACTACACAGCTTAGAGGGAGCATCGGTCTGAGTATATTAGATTTTGCCTAATAGGCCCCCTTAAGTATATGTTCTTCTTCCTTTAGAATCTCCATGGCTTTCACGGCACTTCTGCATGATGCTAGTTAGAAGACTGCTTCTCCGACTCTGTGCAGATGGACCACAACTGACAGCTGCTGACTTCAGACTTCAAACTTCAACTGAACCCTCTGCGTTCTCTGTCTCCACACACCCACACACTCTCAGTCACCCACCAATCACCTCACTCGCTCATCTCCCTCTTCCACCCCCCTTCTTGTACTGACACCCAGGGCTATTTTTGGGCAGGAACGCACAGGAACGGAGTTCCGGCTGGCTCCCGAGTTGGCCACGCCCAGCAGGAACCCATTAGCATAACAGGCCACACCCAACAGCAGGAACTCATTAGGATTGGCTACATTAGGAGTGTGTGGCCTAACATGCAAAGGAGTCCCTGCTACAAAAAAAGGCCCTGGGTTCTGACAACAAACAAGGTAAACAGAATAAGAAGCAAAAGGTGGGTGTGGCTGGATGACCACACTGCTGGTAACATGGGGGCGTGGCCTAATATGCTAATGAGCTGCTGTCAGAGGTGTGGCCTAATATGCTAATGAGTTCCTGCTGTTGGGTGTGGCCTATTATGCTAATGAGTTCCTGCTGGGGGTTTTCTACAAAAAAAGCCCTGCTGACACCGACCAACCATTTAAAGAAAAACACACAGATAACTTGAAATCATTACAGGGCCGCTTCGTCCCGCCTCGGGGGAAACAGACAGACCCTCAGAGCCCCAGTAGCAGCCCCCCACCCCCGGCAGCGGCTTTCATGCACCTCCCAGCACCGTGCAATTCCCCAGAGGTGGCATTTACTCGTTGCACAAGCTGCAGAGCACAACATCCAGCCTCCTTAGCGCACGGAGGCAAAGGTTCGAGGTTCGAGTCCTCGTGGCTGCGGCAACGAGCCCGGAAAGCGGCCGTGTGGCTCTTACCTCGATGCCCTCGGTAGACTTGAGAGAGCAGAGCAGCAAGGTGGTGATCCGAGGCAGGTACGGGGCCAGGGCGTCCCCCAGCAGGATGGAGAGCGAGGAAAAGAGGCTGTACCTGGGAGGGAGGGAGGGGACGGGACGAAGAGACCTATCTTAAGTACCCGTATTTTGAAGCTGGCAGCTGAGGGTATTGAAAACAGATCAGCCAATATCATCATGCCCCTATATAAATCAATGGTGTGACCTCATTTGGAATACTGTGTGCAGTTCTGGGCACCACACCTTAAAAAGGATATGATAGCTTTGGAAAAAGTGCAGGAAAGGGCAACTCGAATGATAAAAGGGTTGGAACACTTTCCCCATGAGGAAAGGTTAAGGCGCTCGGGGCTCTTTAGCTTGGAGAAACGACGACTGAGGGGTGACATGATCGAGGTTTATAAGATTATGCATGGGAAAGAGCAGGTAGAGAAAGAGGTACTTTTCTCCCTTTCTCACAATACAAGAACTCGTGGGCACTCCATGAAATTGCTGAGCGGTCGGGTTAGAACGGATAAAAGGAAGTACTTCTTCACCCAAAGAAGGATTAACACCTGGAATTCACTGCCACAGGAAGTGGTGGCAGCTACAAGCATGGACGGCTTCAAGAGGGAATTGGATAAGCATATGGAGCAGAGGTCCATCAGTGCCTCTTAGCCACAAGGTATAGATAGGGGCTCTGGGGCAAGTGATGCTCTGTCTTCTTGGTGCTTGGGGGGGGGGCCAACAGTGGGAGGGCTTCTAATGTCCTGGCCCCACTGCCGGACCTCCTGATGGCACTGGTATTTCTGGCCACTGTGTGACACAGAGTGTTGGACGGGATTGGTCTTTGGCCTGATCCAACATTGGCATCTCTTATGTTCTTATGAGCACCTCTTTAAAATGACCGGCCCAAACGAGGCCAAATGAGGCAGCTAAAAATCCATTCCACCTTCTCGGCTACACGCTCCCAGATACAAAGACCGACGGAACCAAGTGCCGAAGATTCTCAGCCGGAAGGAAGGGTCTCCTTGTAACGGAGGCGGCTTCATGGAGACATTTCGAAGGGCCCTTTCCTGACAGGTGCACACCACTGGCATGCGTCCTGCCGAAGGTGCCTTTGGAGATGGCAACAGCTCTAAGCATCAGGGTGCCCATGGTCCCGGTTGCACAGCCAAGATCCGAAAGCAGGAACCTGCCTTCTCGTCAGTTGGCTCGCCTAGCCCAGCCTGGGAGCAGACTCTCAAAGAATCATAGCGCTGGAAGGGACCTCCAGGGTCCCCTAAGCCCAACCCCCTGCGCAATGCAGGAAATTCACAAATACCTCCCCCCACCCACACCCGCAGTGACCCCTGCTCCATGTCCAGAAGAGGGCAAAAAAAACCCCTCCAGGATCCCCAGCCAAACTGGCCTGGAGAAAAATGGCTTCCTGACCCCAAAGTGGCGATCGGCACGAGAACTAAGCACTGAGGCAACCATTCCCGCCCTCCCTACTCATGATCTGCCTAAGTTCACAAGATCAGCACTGCTGTCAGGTGGCCATCTAGCCTCTGTTTGAAAACCTACACAGAAGGAGAGCCCACCACCTCCCGAGGAAGCCTTCTGTCAGGAAGTTCTTCCTGATGTTTAGGCGAAAACTCTTCTGATTTAATTTCAGCCCGTTGGTTCTGGTCCGGCCTTCTGGGGCAACAGAAAACAACTCCGCCCCATCCTCTAGAGGATAGCCCTTCAAGTCCTTGAAGTAGATGATCATATCACCTCTCAGTGTTCCCCCTAAGTTGAGTCAGTGTGAGCCAGCTCACAGTCTTTTAGCCTCCGGCTCACACCTTTTTGTCTTCGCTCGGGAAGGACGGCTCCGGAGCCAACTGATTTATGCAGCGGCCAAATTGCTCGCTCACAACTTTAAGGCCAGTAGCTCACAAAGTAGGATTTTCACCCACAAAACTCCACAGCTTAAAGGGAGCATGGCTCTCAGTTGTTTCCTCTCCAGGCTAAGCAGACCCAAGCTCCCTGCAAAGCCCTCCTCGGATTTGCTCCCAAGATGCCAGGGCACTGTGCCCAGAAGGTGCCCCGGCACCGAACCACAGCCCTGTCGACACCTGGCCAGTGCCCAGCACAGGCCGGCAACTCCTGCAGCAGCGTCTGCTTCGAAGGCCACCCTCCTCCGCCCGGCACCGGGCACGGGCCACGGGCCACGGCCGACTCACGTGCACCTCCGCAGGTCGGGGTCATCCACTCGGTCGCAGAGGTCCAGGCCGAGCTGGCAGGACTTCTCGGCCAGCGGCAGGAAGACTTCCTTGTCCATGGTGCTGGCCAGGATGGCCAATGTCTCTGGAGAGGGAACCGAGGGCGGAGGGTCAGGCGCAGAGGCAACCGATGGGGTGGGTGGGATTTCAGAGACAGCTTTTATATGGGGGGGGGGGGGGGGAGCAACTGTTTCGAGCCAGCAGGCACAGCTGGAATTCTGACACAGTGGTGGGCGCAGACACAAAATGGCTGACGCAGGGGGCGGGCCAACCACAAAATGGCTGACGCAGGAAGCAAAGGAATAAGGTTATGCGTCACTCTGATAGTAACTCTTCAACGGATCGGGTGGCAGCGCTGCTTAACGGAACGCCTTTTGTCGTGGCCATCTGGCCCCATCTGGTTTCTCAATACACTTGGTGGGCGCCACGTTGGGGACCCATGGTTGCTGTCTGCCTATTCTTTTCCCTACCTCCAGCTTCACCTATATTCTTAGCCTTGACTATAAGCACTTTTGCCGTGAGGGCATCTTCCAAGGGAAGTGCAATTAAAACATATCGAAAGCAACAACCACCACCACCCAAGAAAACTTCAAACATCACGGCTGGACAGTCTGGGGTGCTTTTCACACGACCATAAGCCAAAAGAGACCATGTGGGGGTGGAATCCCCTGCCTGGAAGAGCTCAGAAGCTACACTGTAAGAGGTTTAAAGACAGCGTGATGTCATGCGCAGTGTCAGACTAGGAGACTTGGGTTCAAATTCCCCATTCAGTTAGAGGAGGAGGAGGAGAGGAGGAGATGGGATTTATACCCCGCCCTTCACTACCCAAAGTTGTCTCGGAGCGGCTCACAAACTTCCTTTCCCTTCTCCTCCCCACAACAGACACCCGGTGAGGTAAAAGAAGAGGAAGAGATTGGATTTATACCCCGCCCTTCACTACACAGAGGAGTCTCAGAGCAGCTTACAATCTCCTTTCTCTTCCCCTCCCCACAACAGACACCCTGTGAGATGGGTGGGGCTGAGAGAGCTCTGACAGAAACTGCTCTTTTTCAAGAACAGCTCTTATCAGAACTACGGCTTGCCCAAGGTCATCCAGCAAGGTGCAAGTGGAGGAGTGGGGAATCAAACCCGGTTCTCACAGATTAGAGTCCGCGCACTTAACCACAACACCAAACTGGCTCTCTAACCACTACACCAAACTGGCCCCTAAGTGGCCTGGGAGCCATCTGCGCTCTCAGACTCTCCTACCTTGCAGGGCTGTCATGAGGACGGAAAAGAGCAGGGAGTGGGAGAACCCCAAAGGCTGTCTTGGCTCCAGGGAGGCAGAGGAGGAGAGGAAAAACAACGAAGAGACGGGACGTCCGTGGCTTACCTACAGATTGAACCTGGACTGGTCGGAGGTCTTCCCGTTTGGTGAGCAGGTAACCTGTCAGATGGTCCATGATGGCTGGGAAGTATGGCAGGAGGGTCCCCTTGGCGGCCCGGGCTAGAAAGGAGGAGGGGGAGAGGTCAGGCTTGGGCTGAGAATGGAGCCACAGGGACTCCAGCCGTCCCCAGCCTCTCTTGAGTCAAGCCGACAGAGCTCTTGGGGGTGGAGGGGAACGAACCCACTCATCTTCCTTGAAGAAAACCCAGGAGTCCTGGCTCCCTGCCAGCCCCTTCCCCTGGAGTTTTAGAAGAGGAGGAGATTGGATTTATACTCCGCCCTTCACTACCCGAAGGTGTCTCAAAGCGGCTCACAAACTCCTTTCCTTTCCCCTCCCCACAACAGGCACCCTCTGTGAGGTGGGTGGGGCTGAGAGAACTCTGACAGAAACTGCTCTATTTCAAGAACAACTCTGAGAGAACTATGGCTTGCCCAAGGTCACACCAGCAGGTGCAAGTGGAGGGGTGGGGAATCAAACCCGGTTCTCCCAGATTAGAGCCCAGGCACTTAACCACTGCACCAAACTGGCAATCCGGGGAACAAAAGTAAAAAACCAACACAGAACATGAAGAATACTGGATAGAGAAATCAATCAAAAAACATTCCTCTGGTGCGCAGTCTTCCGTCGCAGGAAGTAAACAGGCACGGTTCATTCCTTGTCCCTTTCTAGCCGCGCATGGAGCCCTCAGCCTGCCAAAGGGGCTTCCGGCAGAAGACACACGTCTGAATTGAGGCGGAGGTGCCGTGCAGAGAAACATGGAATCTGGAACTCCCAAACACCCCCGGCCCCCCGGCCCCCCGGCCTTGAAGCCCTCGACTGTCCCCAACCCCCCTCGCCTTTCCCTTCCCACTCCCCACAACAGGCACCCTGTGAGGTCGGCGGGGCTGAAAGAACTCTGACACAAACGGCTCTTTTTCAAGGACAGCTGTGCCAGAGCTTGTGACTGACCCAAGGTCACATCAGCAGGTACAAGTGGAGGAGTGGAGAATCAAACCTGGTTCTCCCAGATTAGAGTCCGCGCACTTAGCCGCTACACCAAACTGGCTCAGAGGCCGTGCGCCACAGTTTCGAAGCAATGGTCTTTCCGCAGCGGCGTGGGCAAGGGGTGTTTACCGATGGCTCCGATGGCGCTGACCACCAGCTCCTTGGTGCGGGGGCTGCCGGGGGCGCTCAAGGTGAAGAGCATCCGCTCCATGAGGGCTGGCAGGTAGGGCGAGATCTTGTCCTCCGAAGGATGAAGACAATGGTTGGGGCCTGAGGAAAGAGAAGAGACAGAGATGACACATCCGCTCCTGAGACTCTTGACTGAGGCCGTCTGGAGGAGGACGGGGCTGGGCCCCGCTGGGATGTTGGCAGCCTTCCCCCCAAGGGCCTTCAGCGCAACCCCTGAGGAAAACTGGATCGAGGAGTAGTGTCGGGGGAGGCGGCAAAGTGTTTTGGGACACCCCCGAGAGAGAGACAGACGGAAGGCCGGGCAGTGAGCTGGAGGGGGTCACAGTGTCAAGGGCTGGAGAGCAGAGGTCCATCAGTGGCTATTAGCCACAAGGTATAGATAGGGGCTCTGGGGCAAGGGATGCTCTGTCTTCTTGGTGCTGGGGGGGGGGCAATAGTGGGAGGGCTTCTAGTGCCCTGGCCCCCCTGGTGGACCTCCTGATGGCCTCTGGTATTTCTGGCCACTGTGTGACACAGAGTGTTGGACTGGATGGGCCTCTGGCCTGATCCAACATTGGCTTCTCTTATGCTCTTATGTTCTAGTGTCTTGAACCCACTGGTGGACCTCCTGATGGCCTCTGGTATTTCTGGCCACTGTGTGACACAGAGTGTTGGACTGGATGGGCCTCTGGCCTGATCCAACATTGGCTTCTCTTATGCTCTTATGTTCTAGTGTCTTGAACCCACTGGTGGACCTCCTGATGGCCTCTGGTATTTCTGGCCACTGTGTGACACAGAGTGTTGGACTGGATGGGCCTCTGGCCTGATCCAACATTGGCTTCTCTTATGCTCTTATGTTCTAGTGTCTTGAACCCACTGGTGGACCTCCTGATGGCCTCTGGTATTTCTGGCCACTGTGTGACACAGAGTGTTGGACTGGATGGGCCTCTGGCCTGATCCAACATTGGCTTCTCTTATGCTCTTATGTTCTAGTGTCTTGAACCCACTGGTGGACCTCCTGATGGCCTCTGGTATTTCTGGCCACTGTGTGACACAGAGTGTTGGACTGGATGGGCCTCTGGCCTGATCCAACATTGGCTTCTCTTATGCTCTTATGTTCTAGTGTCTTGAACCCACTGGTGGACCTCCTGATGGCCTCTGGTATTTCTGGCCACTGTGTGACACAGAGTGTTGGACTGGATGGGCCATTGGCCTGATCCAACGTTGGCGTCTCTTATGTTCTTATGACTTGGATTCAAATTCCACCACAGAAGATCACTGGGTAGCCTTGGGCCTTTCGACAATCCGGCTGACTCTGGGGCGGATGAGAAAATGCGACGGCGAGGTGCCCCTCAGAGGAAAGAAACAGTTGGGGAAATGCTGCTGCCATCGCCTTAAGAGTAAGAGTAGGGTTGTGAAATTCCTGGAGATTTTTTTTTGGGGGGGGGCATGCAGCCTGAGGAGAAGGGGGATGGGGGAGAGGAGAGTCCTCAGGGGGGTTTGATGGCGTGTGGAGTCCACCCTTCGGAGAGTTACGTCCAATGTTCCCTCTAAGCTGTGGAGTCTTGTGAGCAAAAATTCTACTTTGTGAGCTACTGGCATTAAAGTTGTGAGCGAGCAATTTGGCTACTGCATCAATTAGTTTGCTCTGGAGCCCTCCTTCCTGAGTCAAGACAAAAATGTGTGAGCCAGAGGCTAAAAAACTGTGAGCTAGCTAGCTCACACTAACTTAGCTTAGAGGGAACACTGGTTACGTCCCAATTTTTATATGGCGCTGCTATCTGGATTAAAGAAATTTCTGAATTATCAGATCAGACCCTTCTCCAGGCCCTGTGCAAAATTGCAGGAGTCCCCAAATGTGTCGCAGGGACGGCACTTAGAGAAGAATTCGCACAATGCTCCTTTGAGTCAAGAGCCTGGAAGGCAGCCTTTAAATGGAGACTGAAAGTTCTTTATATGACTCCTAATGATCAAGCAGGTCTTCTTTATCTTTTAAAGGGGGATAATTATAAATGTACGTGGGCAAAACATATAGACAACAAGCTGGAGAGGATTGGTCTCGCCCCTACAGTGCTTAACAATTTTAAATGATCAAGAAGCGCTAAATCTGATGAGACTGAGGGTGGCAAACATTGACCGACTCAGCACTTCAATTCGTGCTAGGCGAGTATGCTCCAACTCTGCCTTAGGAATTGTGCCGCCTAAGAAAATTCCCTCATATATGAGCTTCCTTACACCCCCTAGATCTAGATATGTCTTCACGCTTGCTAGGTTGAATGTTTTTCCAACTGTAGAGCTAAGTGGCCGTTTTGCTAAAATACAGTACTCAAATAGATTGTGTGATTGTGGATCAGGTGCAATAGAGACCTTAGATCATTTTATGTTATTTTGCCACCAGTGGATTGACTCCAGATCCTGTTGGATTACTCCTATTTTACAAAGACATCACCTCCCTATGGAACCCTGGGTGATAACCATAACTGCTAGCAGATGAAGACCCTGAAACGACTCGCTTGGTGGCAAAATATCTTTCAATAGTGCTATTTTTAAAGCGGCTTTGAAATGTTATAAGCAATGTTCCCTCTAAGCTGTGGAGTCTTGTGAGCAAAAATTCTACTTTGTGAGCTACTGGCATTAAAATTGTGAGCAAGCAATTCAGCTACTTGTATAAATTAGGCTGCTCTGGAGCCCCATCCTTCCTGAGCTAAGACAAAAATGTGTGAGCCAGAGGCTGAAAAACTGTGAGCTAGCTCACACTAACTCAGCTTAGAGGGAATACTGGCTATAAGTCGTTTTATGTATATAATTTTAAAATTTTAAAACTAATTTCCATAATATTATGGGATTTTATAGAATTCACTGAAGTTTATAAAATGTGGTCTGATAATACTGTTCGAGAGTATGTTCACTAGCTTTTATTGTAAAGACGTTTGGACTAAAGTACCTGGTAGTTATATGTAATGCATTTTATAGTTGCTGTTTGTATGTTTGGCTTAAGACCTCGGGTCAACGAAGCTAATAAATGAAATGGAATGGCAGCCATTCTCTTGAGGGGAACAGATCTCTTTTCTCTGGAGATCAGTTGTTAACGCCAGATCTCCAGCTCCCACCTGGAGGTTGGCAACTCCATGCCCAAGTGTAGCTGATTTACTCTACAGATCCTGAGGGGAGGAGACGGAAGGGCTGGTTGGCGGGATCGACCGCGCGGGGGGCCTCACCCAGGTTCTCCACGAAGTTCTCCAGGGCGTAGTAGGCTTTGGCCAGGTGGCTGGTGTGGGCCAGCTCCACCCCGTCCAGGTAGCGCAAGAGCAGTGGCATGATCTCGTCGGCGTGGCGGGCGATGTCGGGCTGGGAGGGGGAGAGAGAGAGACAACGGCGTGGTTTTACCACAGAGTCTCCGGCAATTCCCGGCACTACCCTGCCTCACTTCCTGCAGTGACTTCTGGTAAGCACAGGAGACTGTTGGTTTTCTTTTTTTAATTCTCCCGGGGCGCTGCGCCCTCTCTCGCAACCCTCCAGCTACTTGGCAGTCACGGCTTCCTCCCCTGGCAGTTTGACGCCCCAAGCAGCCGCTCACTTCGGCTGGGCACCAAACCAGGCCCGCGGCGGGAATTTACCAGGAGCCACTGGGCCCCTTCGTCGTTCCCTCAGCACGCTTCTTTCTCTATCCAGGAATGGAACGGACCGCGATGGCTGCACTCCCAGTCCCGGCAGCAGCTCCCGTGGTGTGATCCCCCCCCCCCTTGCTTACCTGCAGGTTCTCAGAGAACTGCCCCAGAGCGAAGAGGGCCGCGTTGCGCACCACCTGGCTGTTGTCTGACAGGGCTTGGCACACCACTTGCAGCATGGGCTGGAGGTGCCTGGAAGGGAGCGGGGGTGGTGGGGACGGACAGGGTTACGGTCAGGGGGTTTCCACCCGAAGGTCGGGGAACAGACACAAGACGGAGACAAGCGCTCCCTCCCAGGGGTGACCAAACTGCCGCTCGGGAGCCGCATGTGGCTAATTTAATGTTAATAAAAAGCAAACCTGCATGTTTTCCAGTAAAAAGAAATGCGTGTGTGATATCTGTCCCTGCCTTGCGGCTCTCAAACATCTGACGTTTATTCTCTGGGGCCGTTACGCTAAGCGAGTTTGCCCACCCCTGCTCTATCCTGTGGAGTCTTGTGAGCAAAAGTCCTACTTGGTGAGCTGCTGGCATCAAAGCTGTGACCGGGCGACTGGGCCGCTGCGTCAATCAGTTTTGCTCTGGAGCCACCCTTTCCGAGCCGAGACAAAAAGGTGTGAGCCGGAGGCGGAAAAACTGTGAGCTGGCTCATACTGACTCAGCTGAGAGGGAACAATACGCCACCACGATACACCACCGACACACTGCGGCAGCACTGCCTGATCCACGTTTGGAGGGAAATTCGGGAGGTGCCGCCTCGCCTTAGCCCAGGCACGGTTTATGGACACACGAAGCTGCTCGAGGCTGAGCAAGACCCCCCTGCCCTTTTTGCTTGGCACTGTCCACTCTGGTGGGCAGATGCTCTCCACGGTCTTCGGCGGAGAAAGACTCGGGTGGGTGGCTCCGTTGGTCTGAAGCAACAGAATGAAGTTGGAGTTTGATCCTGGGTATAAGCTTTCGTGGGCACGCACACTTCTTTGAATTAAACTTTTTATATATATATATATTGGTTTTGTTAATAGCATCACATGAGCAAAATTTCTGGAAGTCCCCCTTAGCAAGGTAGCATGCCAACCGGACGGAAGCAAGCGACACTCTACCTCCTTACTTCTCGAGATTCGGGGATTATTGAATTGACTGCCAAGTTCTTTTATGGTCTTATAAAACGGAAAAATGTCCCTGATCATTCTAATTGAGCTCAATGAGTTTGTATAATTTAATTCAAGGTTTTGTGGTTGGGCAAAATTTTATCTTGCTATAATTTAAGCTCATATAAATAGACATACCTTTGTAATGCTTTTAGACGTTAGTTATTTTCCACAAATTTTATAGGATTGTTTTACCCTAATGGCAACTGTTTAATATTTTATGCCAATAAAAGGTATTTGTTTGTTGTTTGTTTAATAGCATCACATAAGACAAATACTTATTGATTCTAGGTTTCTACATATAGTAGTTAAGAAAATTACTTACAGTTTAACAACTAATCGCTACCATACAGCACCATTACGGTACTGTGAGTTTGACCCTTATAATTTACCTGCTATAACCAATGCTCCCTCTAAGCTGTGGAGCATTGTGAGCAAAAATTCTACTTTGTGAGCTACCGGCATTAAAGTTGTGAGCGAGCGATCTGGCTACTGCATCAATTAGTTTGCTCTGGAGCCATCTTTCCTGAGCTAAGAGAAAAATGTGTGAGCCGGAGGCTAAAAAACTGTGAGCTAGCTCACACTAACTCAGCTTAGAGGGAACACTGGCTATAACCTATAAATATAGCCATTTATGATAGATCTGCTTGACGGGAAATATATCATTCGTTATCATAGTCTAACACTGGGGCCCAAATCCTAACATATTTGGTGTAAGTCGGTGTGTTACTGTTATTTGCTCTCTTCAAGGAGTCTGTAATTTTTGCCATTATAAACCGATCCCAAACTTTCTCTTGCCACGCTGAAATTGTGGGGGGGAGAAGGAGATTTCCAAGCAGCTGCTATTGTTAACCTAGATCGTTTTATCAAATTAAACTTTACTTTAATTTAATTTACTCTGAAATAAACTTTGTGGGTCTTAAAGGTGCCGCTGGACTCAAAATGTGTTCTTTGGCTGAGAAAGATCTTTCCCAGTTCAGAAAGTTCTGGGAACGTCAGCACGGGTGCACCAGACTAGGAAGGAGAGACTTGGGTTCAAATTCCCGCCCAGCCCTCGAGTTTGCTGGGCGACCTCCGGCCAGCCATTCCCTCTAAGCCTCACTCTGGGGGGAGGGTGTTGTGGGGATAACATGCAGGGGGGAGCGCCCTGCACTGCTCGCAAGGAGGCCCAGAGAGAAGTGTGGGTGTGTAAAACAGATCAGATAGACTCTTCAGCCAGAAACGGAAAAGCCCAGAGCTAAGTCCCTTTGCCAAAATAAATTGACATTGTTCTTGGTTGGGATAAGTGGGGAGTATTGCCAGGGTAGCTCACACCCAGTTTCTGAAGGCGCACTTGACAGGGTGTCCCAGAACATACGACTCGAGTGCGAATCCCACCACAGCCAAAAAGCCCACCAGGAGATCTCTGGGGCAGCTACGCTCTCTCAACCGTAAGCGGCCCCAATGTGGCCGTTAGAAGAACACAGCAGCCCCGACTCACTGATATAGGGTTCTGCCCCCTTTACAGGCTGCGAAACCCCATAATGGAGTCCGGGAATGGATCACCTCCCTCGCCGAAAGGCACGTACTTCTTCCGGATGTGATCCCCGCAGCCTTCTGCCAGCACCGCCAAGCACATGAGGCCGGCCTTCCGGTGGTAGGGGTTGGTGCTCAAGAGGGCAGGCTCCATCAGAGATGTCTGGGGGGGGGGGGAAAGCTGGTGGCCCTGAATCCAGCTCCCGTGCCCCTCCCTCCCGCCCTTTCAAAAACCCACCCCCCCCAGTACTCTCCGCACTCGCCAGCTGGGCGAAAAGTTTCTCCGGGGGAAGGTGCAGAGCCAGCACGTCAATCACCTGCCAAGGAGAGAAAAAACATTTTATCTATTATTTTATTTATTGGTAAGGTTCTTTTTTTACCTGGCCTTTCCGCTCTCGGAAGGGCCGCCCCAAGCAGCTACCTGACTGAGACGCTACAAATTAAAGTTTCGTCTTCAGAGGCATTAAGAGCAACCAAACGTCCTTAAAACGGATTTAAAACCAGAGCTGAGAATAAATATGGAAGACAAAAACAACAGTCAGAACATCGGGGAGGAAGGAGGGATCGCTGAGGGAACGCCGAGCTAAACAAAAGAGCCAGTATGATAATGCCCCTGTATAAATCGATGGTACGTACTCATTTGGAGGACTGTGTGCAGTTCTGGTCGCCACACCTCAAAACAGGATATTATAGCATTGGGGAAAGTGCAGAAAAGGGCAACTGGAATCATAAAAGGGTTGGAACACTTTCCCCATGAAGAAAGGTTGAAGCGCTGGGGGCTCTTTAGCTTGGAGAAACGATGGCTGAGGGGTGACGTGATCGCGGTTTAACAGATTATGCCTGGGATAGAGCAGGTCGGGAAAGAGGTACTTTTCTCCTTTTCTCACGATACAAGAACTCGTGGGCACTCCATGAAATTGCTGAGCGGTCGGGTTAGAACCGATAAAAGAAAGTGCTTCTTCACCCAAAGAGTGATTCACACATGGAATTCACTGCCGCAGGAGGTGGCGGCGGTTACAAGCATGGACAGCTTCAAGAGGGAATTAGATAAGCATATGGAGCAGAGGTTCATCAGTGGCTCTTAGCCACGAAGTGAAGATAGGAACTCTCGGTCTAGGGAAAGGGATGCTCTGTATTCTCGGTGCTTGGGGGGGGGGGCAACAGGGGGAGGGCTTCTAGTGTCCTGGCCCCACTGGTGGACCTCCTGATGGCACCTGGTATTCCTGGCCACTGTGTGACAGAGTGTTGGACTGGATGGGCCATTGGCCTGATCCATCATTGGCTTCTCTTATGTTCTTATGAGTGTTCACCCGCAAGCGGAAGATGGCAACGGGAGGGGACAGACGAGTCCCCCTGGGGAGAGAGTGGCAGCGTTTTGGTGCCATGACCAAGAAGGCCCTGTCCCCCGGCTGCCACCCGTCTAATCTCAGAAGAGGGGGGTCACCCAAAGCAGAGACTCTGAAGATGCCTGTTAATAGTCAGGGAGGCACGGGACCGGATTGGGCTACTGGGGGAAGGAGGCACGGGAGATTGACAGTGAGAAAAGGGGGTGGGTGAGCGAGGGGGATGGCTGGGACTGAAAGGAGACGGGGCGGAGACTGGGGCGTGCTGGGATGGTGAGAGAAAGGTGGAAGCAAGGGAGCCAGAGAGCACCCAGGGGGCACACGCTGGTGGCTGAACAAGCCAGGTGGGGCGACACAACACACTCCCCCCCCCGGTGTACCTGGGCTGCGAAGTGCTTGGGGGTGTGGACTTCGGCGTGGTCCTCGATGTCCTCCTCCGTCAGCTCGTCCTCGGCGTCCATCTGGCCCGGAGGCGGCTCGGCGCTCATGATGGCGAAGAGGGCGTTCAGCGTGGTGGAGAGCAGCTTGTGCCTCAGGATGGCCTGGAGGATGGGGAGGAGACAGGCGCTCTGAGGGGGGTGGCCGGCCCCGGGGAGCAGAGCCAGGGGGCCGGGAGCCCGGGGAGGCACCCTCGCCTCTTACCTTGCTCTTGAGTTTGGAGAGAAAGCTGATGCAGGACAAGGCTTTGACCCGGAGGTTGTCGCCCAGGGCCGGATTGGAGGCCACCTGAGGGAAAGAAGAAGAGGAGGAGGAGGAGGAGGAAGAAGAGGAGATTGGATTTATACCCCGCCCTTCACTACCCAAGGGAGTCTCAGAGCGGCTTACAATCTCTTTCCCCTCCCCTCCCCTCAAGAGACACCCTGTGTGAGGTAGGCGGGGCTGAGAGAGCTCTGACAGAAACGGCTCTTTTTCAAGAACAGCTCTTGTCAGAACTGTGGCTTGCCCAAGGTCATCCAGCAGGTGAGAGTGGAGGAGTGGGGAATCAAACCCTGGTTCTCCCAGATTAGAGTCCACGCACTTAACCACTACACCAAACTGGCAGGGTTTGGGTGAACCACTGGAGCTCGAATGGACCTCAGAGCAGAAAGCGGAGGCAGAATGCAGTGGGGGACAACTCTTAGGGACATGTGACAACTCCATGTGACAAAGATAAACTGGTTCCAGATTCGGTCAGAAGAGGCGTGCGGGATCCGGCCAGGGTGGTCCAGCAGCTGGCTTCCAACAGCAGCCGACTAGATGTTTCTGGGACGCCCCCAAGCCATTTAAGGAGGCAGCCCCGCCCTGTTTGTCCTTCGGCCACTGGCACCGAGGGCTGATGCGATGTCTTAATACATGAAAACCATGTGAGCTGCATGTGCCGATGTCTGAGAGGTCCCCAGGTCAAGCCTCATCTCAGAGACACTTTGGCAAGCCTCTCTCTATGTGCCTCAGTCCTCCTCTACAATATGGGGATAATGCCAGCCTACCTTACAAGGCCGTTGTCTGGATTACAAAGCAGCACGCGTAGGGAGGGCAGAAGAAGAAGAGATTGGATTTATACCCTGCCCTTCACTTGGAGTCTCAGAGCGGCTTACCCTTCCCCTCCCCACAACAGACACCCTGTGAGGTAGGCGGGGCTGAGAGAGCTCTTTTGAGGACTGCCCTTGAGAGAACAGCTCTGAGAGAACTTGTGACTGACCCAATGTCACACCAGCAGCTGCATGTGGAGGAGTGGAGAATCAAACCTGGTTCTCACAGATTAGAGTCCGCGCTCCTAACCTCTACACCAAACTGGCTCTGATATGGAGTGTGTTATTTTATTCTGGTTTTAACTAGATTTTTTCCCAACTATTATTGCAGGCCACCTTGAGCCATGAGGAAAAGCGGGATAGAAATGTTTCAATAAATAAAACAGATTAACGAAAATGACTACTATTATTACTAAGGCTGAAACACGTGGACAAGTTCTCGTGTGCTCACACCCAAGGCACCTCTTGCGTTATTTTCTTCCTTCTTGATTATCTTGTTAGAAGAAGCAGGGCTATTTTGGGGCAGGAACGCACATTTACAGAGTTCCGGCTGGCTCCTGAGTTGGCCACGCCCAGCAGGAACTCATTAGCATAATAGGCCACACCCAACAGCAGAAACTCATTAGGATTGGCTACATTAGGGGTGTGTGGCCTAACATGCAAAGGAGTTCCTGCTACAAAAAAAGGCCCTGGGTTTTGACCACAAACAAGGTAAACAGAATAAGAAGCAAAAGGTGGGTGTGGCTGGATGAGCACACTTCTGGTAACACGGGGGTGTGGCCTCATATGCTAATGAGCTGTGCTGTCAGGTGTGTGGCCTAATATTCTAATGAGTTTCTGCTGTTGGGTGTGGCCAATTATGCTAATGAGTTCCTGCTGGGCTTTTTCTACAAAAAAAAGCCCTGAGAAGAAGATCTTTGCAGTCACAGTCTTGTCATGAGAAAACGAGGGGAGGAGCCGTGTCAGGTCAACCGCACTCACCTCCAGGCAGAAGCCAACGACATCCGAGAGATGCTGCACAATAATAGCCACTTCGGTATCCAGGAGTTCATCGAAGACCTCCATCGCGTCGCTGGCGTAGTCCTGCGTGGGAGAGAGGAAGACGCGGCCGCTAAGGCCTCTCGCCCAGAGAGCGCCAAATGGATTTGTGCAAGGGTGTGGCCTACAGCAAACCCCCCCCCCCCCCCCCCCCCACTATGGCTCAGGGGCAGAGCATCTGCTTGGCATGGGAAAGGCCCCAGGTTCAATCCCTGGCATCTCCAGTTAAAGGAGTTGGCAGAAGATGACGTGAAAGACCTTTCTCTGCCTGAGACCCTGGAGAGAGAGCTTCTGCCACTCGGAGTAGACAAGACTGACCTCTGATGCACCCAGGGTCTGACCCAGTGCCAGGCAGCGTCACGTGTTCCGCGCTGGATGTTGCACAATCACCGCCCTCATTCAATCAATCAAGTTTATTACGGTCATAGACAAGTAAGTACAGTTAGGTAAAGGTAAAGGTGTCCCTTGCTCGAAAGCCAGTCGAATCCGACTCTAGGGTTGCGGTGCTCATCTCTGTTTCCAAGCCGAAGAGCCAGCGCTGTCCGAAGACATTTCCGTGGTCATGTGGCTGGCATGACTAAACACCAAGGCGCACGGAACGCTGTTCCCTTCCCACCGAAGTGGTACCTATTTATCTACTTGCAATTTCTTGCTTTCAAACTGCTAGGTTGGCAGGAGCTGGAACTAGAGACGGGAGCTCACTCCGTCATGCGGCACCCGGGTCTTGAACTGCTGAACTACCGACCTTCCACTGCCTGCAGTTCAGCGTCTTAACCACTTGAGCCACCGCAGCTCCATAAGTACAGTTAAGAGAGCAGTAAAATTATAAAATATAATGGCATCTAAAAAATTATAAATAAGGATCTAAAAACTTTAAAATACAGAAATAATAAAGTCAAAATTATGATCAAAAGTTAGGTTTAGGCCTATCTGAACTTTATCTCTTTCCTAGTTTGGTATGCCAGCCAACCAAATTTGGCAACCATCCTAGTCAGCTTTCATTCAGAACGGTACGGTCTCACACAAAAGTTAGAACGCAGTTGTGAAAGAGTGCTCCAATCACACCAACTCAACGAGGCTTGGACGCAGCCATGCAAACGCTCGCTCGTGAGCAGTGTTCCCTCTAAGCTGAGTTAGTGGGAGCCAGCTCACAGTTTTTTAGCCTCCAGCTCACAGATTTTTGTCTTAGCTCAGGGAGGAGGGCTCCAGAGCAAACTAACACATGCAGTCACCAAATCGCTCGCTCACAACTTTTAATGCCAGTAGCTCACAAAGTAGAATTTCTGCTCAAAAGACTCCACAGCTTAGAGGGGACATTGCTCGTGAGGTATCCCATGTGCTGCCATGGATGTGGGTGAGATACAGGTGGATTCCCTGCCTCCCCATTCCTCGACACACATCACAGAGACAGAAAGGTTTACCCACAAAAAGGTACTCCCTCGCCCCGACCTGGATAGCCCAGGCAAGCCCGATCTCGTCAGATCTCGGAAGCTAAGCAGGGCCGACCCTGGCAAGGACTTGGACGGGAGACCTCCAAGGAATACCAGCCGTCGGGAGGCGGGGGCAGGCTTGACTCAGCCACCTCTCTGAATGTCCTCCGGGCCCCCAGTAGGGGTCAGTCACCAGAGGTCAACGTGACTTCAAGGTGCACAAACACAAAAACATTTTTAAAAATACCAAAAAAGGTATTCCCTCTTGTCCAGACTGACTGGCAAAAAGTTTCCAAGGCTAGGGTTGCCAAACCCCAGGGTTTTGCAGGGGCCCCCCCCTTTTGGGGGGGTTCTCCCCGCCGC